GAATCAGAGTCCCAAGCACTACCAAAAGAGAGGAACTCTGACACTTGCTCCAAATTTGCTATTTTCCTTCACACAATTGCGGACATTGGATATAGTTACCATAAGTTGTGGCCTAGTTCCTTCAGTCGCTTTTGTTTGACCACACTGAACACAGCATTAGCCTCAACAATGATAGCAGGAGAGCCATCCCACAGGCCGAACCACAGTTGTGTCATCAAAATCATCAATCTACCCTTTAAAAGAGACCTTTTCCTATTGCGCCAATCATTTTGCAGTTTAGAGAGGAGCTGCCCTGTATCAACAATCACTGCCAGCTCAACATCCTCTTGCTTAATCACTTGCTCTCCGGAAGATTTACTCTCCTTAATGACCAGGCAATTTTTTGCTATTCGGCACTGCGCTATTTCAACTGGTAATTGCGCAGTCATGCAATGCTGTACCCAAATGAAATTTATATCCTTTTTTTCACACAAATAGAGCTTTCTTTTGGTGGTATTTGATCACCAATGGGTTTTTTATTTTTTGTGATATAAAGAAAAAAGACCAAACATTTTGAAAAAAAAATCCAATATTTTTTACTTTCTGCTTTAAAAAATATATGGTAAATTCAAAGTTAGTCATACATTTAGGAGAAAATGTATTCTGCTACATGTCTTTGGTCTTCATGTATTTGAAAAAAAAAAATCCCAATACATGTATATTAATTGGTTTGTATGAAAGTTATAGTCTACAAACTATGGTATTAAAAATATTAAATTAAATTTTTTTTTCATTTTTTGTAAACATATTTTTTAACTATTTTTTTTTATACTTTCACCAAAGTAGTGCAATGTTACCATAGCAACATTGTACTACTCTGGGGGGGAGGGTGATCATGGATTTTTTTTTTTTTTTACACTTTGCATTGCATGAGTAATGTCAGCAAGTGGTTGGGCTTTTAGAGAGGGGTCCAGATCAACAGGGAACCCGAAAATAATCCAGCAACTCCTAAGGAACGTGCTACATATGTATACATGATGACCAGATAGCATTTTAATGAAAGCTGCAAATTAAAAATAGATTAAACAATGACTTTTGAAAATCACATCGACATCTTACGGATTCTATGAGATTTTAGTGATTGAACCAAAGTGGTAAAAGTATATATATAAACCCAAAGACCCACAAAGGCCAGTCAGATCCATTAGTCTGGTATGAAGGATTGTAAATTAATGCATCCAAACCAAACAATTACTTGCTTCAGCCCTTGCCTTTGGGTTTTCCATAATATAAGAAACCCTTTGCCTCGGTGTGCCATGAAAGGAATGAATGTGTGTATGAAGAAAACACACCATGGAGATAAAACCATGGAGATAAACAAAAGCCACTTGCGGGGTTTACTTTTTTTTGTTCTATATGCAGTGGTTGATTGCAGTAGCTGCCATATTATTCGAATGAAACACAAAATGCACATACATTGTCTTGGGGGTCTGTAATTTCATTAGGAACCTTCATTTGATGTTTTTCTTACAATTGCAATGCTTCTTTATGCACAATAAACCTCTTCATGATTCAGTGCATTTATAGTTGCGGATATCCAGCAGTTCTCCTTTCTACAAAAGATGAAGTATCTCACAGAAATGTGAAATTTTAACTGAGCAGTAAGAAGCAAACCTTCTGACACACTTTTGCGATCTCCTGATTCAACACACTTTATTGATGCGTTCTGTTTCAGAGACAATAGAGGTTCCCTAAAGATAGGATATTGAGTGGGTGGAATTGAAAGAAAGTTCTCATGCTCACTGTCCAAACACCCAAAGTTTCTTCAGTATGACTTATCTTTTAGTTCTTTCAACCAGTAAAATTGATGCTGATTTAAATGTCAGCATTTACAAAGACAGACATCATAGTTATGGAGTTATATGTAGGCTGGCTTAAATGTGACTATTTGATAGAGGGGAGCACAATGCGTGTTATTGCTAACAAAGTAGCTTTAACTGCTGGATAGGTGGCAATGGAACATTCTATTTACAAAAGTGCAGATAAATGGTTTTCTTATAGGTGTATAAGGCACAGGTACACAGAAGATATAGATTGCAGCTTAATGCCCCATGTACACGGGACACTTCTGAACGATGGAAACTGACTACTGGAAAATGTAGGTTAAAAAAAGTCTGTTTAGCCACATTTGCATAATGCGTTTATGCACTTTTATGCGTTTAGAAGCATTTTTTAAAGATAAGCACAGGAGAATCTCCCAAATGCCCAGAATGCACTGAAAAGTGATAAATTATTAACTATTTCAGACTGTTTCAGAGAAATACACAGAGTAGAAGCAGAGATAGTATTATGTGTTGAGATTAGCTTAGGTGGGAGTTGCTCATTAACATTTCTTTTGTTTCCAAGGGTGGAGTGAGCCATTAAGGCCACCTGGCAGGTGTTTTCATGAGGAATTTGAGGTGTAAATGGTCATTAACATATCTTTTGTTTCCAAGGGTGGGAGAGGTCCGAGGTGTGAATTGGTCATTCCAATGTGTGACAAGCTTGGTAGGAACATCCTGTGTTCAGTGTTTTGTCCATTCGAGTACCTTGAAAACACTTTGCATGCATTTTTTATGATGAAAAAGGAAAAGGCATCGAGAACTGGAAGAGTTAAAAACAAAATTTCAAACGCAAATGACACGATTTGCCACGTTTAGCCACATTTACAAGCGTTTTGTGTTTGAAACGCTGATAAAAATTGACTGCTGAACGCAAGGTTTCTGTGTTAAAAAAATACACTGTAAACACAAATGCCTGTAAACGACTGTAAACAAAGATGTGTACATGGACACTTAGGAAAACATTAGGGTGAGTTCAGGGGCTGCTGAACAGCTCCTAAACGTGTTTATCAGCTGCAGTGAACATGAGCCCTAATTCTGCTGGCACTGCGTTATCCTCGCTACGAGCACAGATGTGTTATATATGGCACATAATGTTTACTTGCTAGAGGCTAGTGTCCATAAGCAGGTGACACAAATGCAGCAGTCTCGGTATAGTATATACTGACTCTGATAGTCAGTCTTCTCAGAAGCAGCAACAGTGATGATAGACAGGACTCCAGAGGATTCCTGTTCTGTCCCTGAGGCTGGAACACTCTCCTTAAGTAAAGCCTAGCTTGCCCTAGCAAGGCTGGGTATCTTCATTTCTATATATGCACAAGAGCTCCTCAAAATGGTGGCTGGGCTCTCCGGTTATATATAGGAGAGCCAACACAAATGGCCACTCAAATCTTGAGAGAGTTTGTGCCCAATCAGAGCACAAGGCTTCCCCAAAATGGCTGCTGGAGAGAAATATAGAGGACAGCTAATCATTACCACTGACAATCAAGAACCACAAAGAACTATTTGCATAAAACACAACATTCCTGCATGAAAAAGTGAGCATGATACAATTACTGTCCCACTTCTCACAGTCAGCGAGGTTATTGCTGACACTGTTAACTGCATGTGAGGGGACTACCTACATATACATGAATTTTACTAGCTTACGCTCTATAATAACAATGCTTTTTGCTATTTTTGAAATGTAAAGGTCATTCAAGTGACAGACGTTTGGTCTCCAAAGGTAGGTAGTTATACTGCTAGGATTGTTGGTGACAGGGTAACCATGCTTTAAGACTGAAATTTATTTTTTGTGTGCTACAAGTTCTAATTTATTCTAATGAATAACTCTCTACCCAGGGATCATGGGGCCCCTGTGTCCTTGCCCAAACTCAAAAAAGCCTATGAAAAAGGTACCAGGGGCATCTCATGGGGCCCCCTACTGACCCCAGGCCCTTGGGCAGTGCCCGAGTTTCCAAATGGTCAGTCCGCCCCTGTCTCTACCTTACCTAAACTTGGTGGTGCTCAAATATTTCCAAGAATCCTTCTGGAAGGATTTATTGGGAAGGTTTGGGGTTATTTGGAATGGATTGTTCCACACTGGAAAACAGGAGTGATTGAATGTATTAAGTATGTTGGTTTGCTCAAATCAGAGGCTAACTGCAGATTATGAAATGGCAAAATGTTGCAATTTAAATCAACACTACAAAGGGCTATATACCTACATTACTAATACAGATAAACAAATTATCTTTACTGCACAGCATGGAACAAAGGGGATCTTTAATTAGCAACAATGATTCTGAAGTCTTCTGTCCATCTGAAGTCATGTCTTCTTGATTGTAAATGTCACAGGGGGGCACAGAGTCGGTTTGAACTGCATGGTGCTGCTACAGCAGCTTGTTTATTTTGTACCTTTGTTTTTTTTCACCTGCTCCTCTTCCTGTTTGGTGCTAATGGGTGTGACATTCTCACCAACCAAATGACCAGCCAATCTCACACCGCGCTGTCACTTAAATAACAGTGCCACTCTAAGCTGAGCCCTGCACAAAGGTTTTCTTAGTGCACAGGACCACAATCTATGTGCCTGCAGCCTGAGAGCGATTGTCACTGGGTTAAATTAACCACCTCCCGCATGCCATATAGTCCAATGACGGGCGCAAGGTGGTTCTCTCATTCTGAGAGGACGTTATATGACGTCCTCCCATTCTCACCGCACATGCGAGGCTCAGAGAGCGCGCAGCGATTGGCGGTGCGCTGTGTCCCTCGGACACAGCGGATCACCGATCATGGAAAGAGCCGAAGATGTCCAATCACAGCTGATCACATGTAAACACGGAAATGCCGGTTACCGGCATTTCTCTCCTCTCGAGCTGTCATGCTGACAGCTCGAGAGGAGAGGAGAGCCGGTAATCGGCTTTCCACGGAGGGGACACTGATCATCAGGGCACTGATGATCAGTGTGCCCTGATGATCAGTGCAGCCCCAGCGGTGCACCTGTCAAACTCCATCATTGCCAGCTGTCAGTGCCGATCAGTGCCACGTGCCAGTGGCTATCAGTGTCACATCAATGACACCTATCAGTGCATACCAGTGCACATCAATGCCACATGTCAGTGCCCATCTGAGCTGCCTTTCAGTGTCACCCATCAGTGCCAGTCAGTGCCACCTATCAATGCCAATCAGTGCCACCTATCAGTGCTGCCAATCATTGCCACCTATCAGTGCCAGTCAGTGCCACCTATCAGTGTCAGTCAGTGCCGCCTATCAGTGTGCATCAGTGCCGCCTAACAGTGCCAGTCAGTGCCGCCTAACAGTGCCAGTCAGTGCCGCCTAACAATGCCAGTCAGTGCCGCCTAACAGTGCCAGTCAGTGCCGCCTATCAGTGCCAGTCAGTGCCGCCTAACAGTGCCATATATCAGTGCCATGTATCAGTGCTGCCTTTCAGTGCCCATCAGTGATGCCTGTCAGTGCCCATCAGTGCCACCTATCAGTGTCCATCAGTGCAGTCTATCAGTGCCCATCAGTGCAGCCTCATTAGCGCACATCAGTGAAGGAGAAAAATCACTTATTTACAAAATTTTATAACAAAAACTAAAAAAAAAAAAAAAACGTTTTTTTTTTTTCAAAATTTTCAGTGGTTTTTGGTTTGTTTAAGAAAAAAGAAAAAATCCAGAGGTGATTAAATACCACCAAAAGAAAGCTCTATCTGTCACAAAAAAATTATAAAAATTTCATATGGGTACAGTGTTGCATGACTGCGCAATTGTCATTCAAAGTGCGACAGCGCTGAAAGCTGGAAATTGGCCTGGGCAGGAAGGGGTATAAGTGCCCAGAAGGCTAGCGGTTAATTAAGCAATAAACCCTTTAAACACCACCACTGCCTTTTTACTGAGAAGGAGGAAACTCACAACTTGCTCGCAATAACAACTATGATTTTAGCATAAATGTCTATAACACGCACTGTCACCACTGACAGGTATATTCGGAGGATTATCATATACAGTAGAACTCTTCAAGAGACAGAGATTCTTTTAGTTTACATTAAAAGCTTTAGAGACAATTTCAACACTTTTCTAAATAGGGTTTAATACTGAATAGGTCAAAATGGTGCAAATAAAATATTTATAGAAAAATATGTTACAAAGAAATAAAGAAACAATAAAGCAACAAAGAAATAAAAAAGGAGTTGAAAATGGAGAATACTTGCAAAGTATTGGTCCTTGGTTTTAGAAGAGATCAGTTAATAAACAAGGTGTTATCGGCTCTCATAACTTGACAGATGTTCCATCGTTGATAGTAAAATGAGAGTTTGACAACAGGTCCTGCCATTCCCTTTTCTGTTGTATCACAGGGGTATTGACAGAGACCATCTGACCAATCATCCGGTTTAAGGGGGTGGGGGCTGGGAAGTTACTATGTTTATGACCAAGTCCTAAATACAGTTTTAAATATTAAAGCAGACTTGAATTAATAAATAAGTCAATAATATCACTTCAACCCAAAGTCCAAAATAAAGTCCAAAAATACTTGTAGGTAACTTCACAATGACTCAGATCCTAGGAGAGGTCGATGGTGAAATTCCAGAAAATCTTCATATACCCTAAGGTAAACTAAACCAGCATAGGATCCATAGTGAGAATGGAAATTCCTCCAAATGACATCATCTTCTCCAGATACTTCCCATAAACCTCACAAACAGACCAGGGGTCAGCATTTGAATCAGATAACACACAATTTTATTGTAGCAACTTACATCAAGAAACGATGAAATCAGCTTCCATATCATGAAACAATATAGACAGCATCAATACTCAACGGGTAGCTCCAAAGCAGTGGTCATCCAACTCTAACGGAGAGCCAGATGGTAAATGGAAGTCCCAGGGGTATGAACAACTGCGTGTTCCAGAACCCAAAATGGCCACCAAGGCACTTCCGGAAACGTCAATGCGTCACTACGTCACGTGCCCGGACGCGTTTCGTCACATCCGGACTTTTTCAACAGGGATACGGACGTATATGCTCACTTACTTTAAGTACCAGTTGGCAAAAGGGTGGAACACCAGAAGCGGCCATCTTAACCACTTGCCGCCCAGCCACAGTAGATATACGGTGGCAGGGCGGCACTCACAGGCCAAACCACGTTTTTAAAACGCGGTTCTGCAAAACAGGTAGGGGGCGCACGCGAGGCGCGTGCACGCCCTACCTGTCCCGCGGGTGTCATCAGCGGGTCCCAGCCGCTGGGTCACGGCCACTGATTACCGGCTTTTTGGCCGCGATGAGCTGTGATTACTGACAGATAACACGGCTGCATTGTTTACACACAGCCTTGTTATCTGTCAGTTGCTCAGCTCGTGACAAGCTGCAGAGGGTTTCTCTGCCTCGATCAGCTCCCCCCTCCCCCCCCCCCTCCAGCACACACCCCCTCCCCCCCTAGTAAAACACTCCCCTCACACAGTGAACACTAAAAATGTTAACCCTTCCTCCCCATTGCCATTTGTACAGTTTCAGTGTTTTTTTTTTTTCACTGATCACTGTATTGGTGTCACTGGGGATGTCAGTGACCCCAAGTTAGTTCCCCCCCAGTGTCAAAATGTCCGCCACAGTCCCGCAGTCCCGCCATAAGTCGCTGGTCGCCGTCATATGTCGCTGATCGCCGCAATATGTTGCTGATTGCCACCATTATTAGTATAAATAAAATAAAAAATCCCAGTATCTTTCCCGCCATTTGTAAACGCTATAAAACTTTCATGTAAACCAATTAATTTACACGTATTGGGATTTTTTTTAGCAGAGACATGTCGCAGAATGCATTTTGGATGAAATTTGTGCCAAAATTTGATTTTT